ACGTTGTTTCACTTTCTCAACAATAAAATGTAAACATGATTTAAGGAACTGCCTATTTTCTTTTTAATATTAGCAACTTAACAGACAGCAGAAATGTTGAGGCGACGTGCTGAATATATGAGCGTCATCTTCACTGTGTGGATATTTATAACAAAACGGAGCCGATAACAACTGCCTCCTTTCAATTTCAGTGAAAATACGAAACGCACCCTCTCTTTTGCTGTTTTAATAATCGATAATGTCCATTATAAAAGTATATTATACAATAAGTTTATATATTATAGAAAATAAAGGCAAGTGATCAGTCAATATACAGAATGTAGGCTACGTGGTTTGATTATTAACTTATCTTTGCGCTTAGCCAAAACACGTTACCTGAAAACAAAAGATTCCAATGACCAAAGTCGAGGAATATGGCGTTAGATACAGACAACAAGACAAGTGAAATATCACGTTTAATAAATATAGTGAGATTAGATCCAGCAGGAGATGCTTGTTGAGCAGTCCGACGAGCACAGCTCTCATCTGGGAAAATAGGCGGCAGCGCTTGCCCAAGAATGTGTGTGTGGTCACGTGATGTGCGTTTTCAGCGTTTTGGTGTGGACGGAGAGCAGTTCAGAAACGCTAGTGTGGACGCGGACCGTTTTCAAACTAAAAGGCACTAGTGTAAACGGGGCCTAAGTCAAAAAAGATAATTAATGAATGAATAGTTATTTTTAAAAAATTAATTATGCTGGTTAAGCCTTTTAAAATGCTCTTTCAAGAGTTTACACTTAGATACTGTTTGACAACTTGTTAGCAAGTTAGCAGGTTTGGCATGCTGTCCCGGGAGAGAACCCTGAGCTCGGAAATAGTTAAGCCCAGGGCTCCCGCCAGGTCCATAAAGTATGTGAGGGGAGTACAAGGTCAGGTGTTCTCGAGATCTCCTCTCGGCAAAAGAGGAGAGGAGAATGGGTGGATGGGGGGGGTTTCTTCGGAAAACGAAGATAAGGGAGTAGTTCTTAGCTAGGTTACTTATAGTGAGTTTGGATCAATCCGATTGGCTAGCCAATGAGTGTAGATGAGTGGCCAGCTGCAGTCAATCATATCATGTGCTCCTCTTGAAATTAGTTTGTGAAACTTCATTTAAACTGAGAACTAGGATCTTGCAAAATAACAAAACAACATATATAATTGAATATATGCAATTGAAAATATTATGTACTGTCATCATGGCAAAGACAAATAAATCTTTTAATAAAATACACAATTTATATGCAATTTATACACCGGATTTCACAGTTAAATTTGAGATTGTTTAAGATTTCATTATGAATGAAATTTCAGACTCATAGAGGGCTAAATGCTAAGTATTTTTTAAATTATAAATTATTATAATTTATACATTTAATAATACAGTAATAATAATTTAAAATATAAAACAGAGGTCAGTATCCTTAGCAGTAAATAAACTTTTAAGCAAATGTTACTGTAAAAAAAAAGTAATTAAATGCTTTGTTTAAATAAAAAGTTTTATTGAGACAGCATGTTGGTGATTGTATGGGTATTAGGGGCCAGATTGGGTAGCTATTAGTGAACAAAGGATAATGAAGTCCTGTTAAATGCAATTTATACAAGTAATACAATTTTTTAAAGTTAAATAAATATCTACATTAAATATTTGAAAATGAATTAACATCCCACAGAAAGGCTAATAATGTCATCTTCAATTGTTGTGTGTTTGTTATCAGCGTCAGAGTAAATGTATTTGTGTGTGCGTCTAAACATGGCCTGCAGAAGTATATAGGCAGATCCTTCACGTCTCCACCACTCAAACTCTTTCTGAAAGCCAGTGTGTTTGTTCAGGACGAAAGCAGAGCTGAGGTTAATCTGATCTGGATTGATTGTTGATGTCTGCTGTAGGTCATTGTGTAGTTTTTGATTTATCTTGCACACATCATGCGTTCTTCTATTAGTTTGGGCTTCACAGTTTCTGTTTTCTTAGTTAATCTGCAATTGCTAAGATAACTAATAGCTGTAATTAAATTACTTTTCTGCTAACCCACATTACATTTCATTTTTAGGTGATTTAATTAGTTGTAATGCCTTGAATACTGTAAATGAATTCATCTCTTCTGTATTAATTAATTAAGAGAGAGCACAGCAGAGCAATATATAATTATTTGCATATTTTCAACTAAAAGATAATTTATCAAAGCAATTGCATGTGCTTAAGAAAATACTAAATGTATATTTTTGTTATTTAGTGCACTTTAACTCTAAATTAACCAACTCCAAACAGAAACGTGTGTCAATATATGATATTCACTCACTGGCCACTTTATTAGATACACCTGTCCAACTGCTCTTTACCGCAGACTAATCACATGGCAGCAACTCAAGGCATTTAGGAATGTAGACATGGTCCAGACGATCTGCTGCAGTTTAAATCGAGCATCAGAATGGGGAAGAAAGGGGATTTAAGTGACTTTGAACGTGGCATGGTTGTTGGTGCCAGACGGGCTGGTCTGAGTATTTCAGAAACTGCTGATCTACTGTGATTTTCATGCACGACCATCTCTAGGGTTTACAGAGAATGGTCTGACAAAGAGGAAATATCCATTGAGCGGCAGTTCTGTGGGCGCAAATGCCTTGTTGATACCAGAGGACAATAGAAGATTGCAGAAATGTTGCCTGCTCTTATAAGTCTCGACTTCTGCTGCGTCATTCAGATAATAGGATTCCGAATTTGGCGTCAACAATATATGGACCAAAATCTTGGAATATTTCCAGTACCTTGTTGAATCTATGCCACAAAGTATTAAGGCAGTTCTGAAACCAAAAGGGGGTCCAACTCAGTACTAGTAAGTTGTACCTAATAAAGTGGCCGGTGAGTGTAAATGAAATATGGTCTCATTAGTTTGAAACATTTTTTTTTTGATACGTTAAGTGAAATGTATTAACAAAATTAAAAGGTCCTGTTTACTCCAAATTTAAAGAACGTCCTATTCACATAGGGCAGCAGCATCAACGCTTCCCATTCACTCTGAATGGGTGACATCAGGCGTTGCTGAACTGCATTGTGGATCCGTTAGCGCCGCTTCAGTGGGTTGTTGCTAGAGCGGATACGTTTGCGGCCAGAAGTTTATTTAAACGCGAATTATTTCTATTATTTATTACATTTCTTATTTGTTGTATTTTATTTGTTTTTAAAAACAGTTGTTGTACCGAGTATTAGTTATGTTATCTATTAAATTACCCAATAAAGTGTATTTTTTAACGCCTACCCCCACCCCAACCCTAAACCCAACCTTCACAGTACTGTAAAAATATTAATTATTGTTATACAGTGTCATTAAAAAATGCTGCTTTATTAAATGTGCATATCGCACTTCCGGCCGGCCGCATATCCGACCTAGACTTTACCGCTTCAGTGGCGTTGGTCATTGCAGAAGTTGGAACTTGCTCAACTTTTCAAGCACCGACGGAAGCGTCAGCCAATCAGATCGCTGTATGCAAATACATCAGCTCTGACAGCGTACTGCTAACTCATTTCATTAGCAGACGCTGCTCTGACAATCACGTCAGCCCCACCTAAAGCCCCGTGTGAATGGGGCGTAAGAGCTTAATTTGAATTAAATTTAATCATCTATGCATTTAGATTGATGTGGATTTTTTAATGTTTACATACTAACACCCAGGGCCATGTTATATCGAAGTTGATATCTAGCCGCATCATGTTGGGGTTTTGACGCATCTAATTTTTACAAGGTGCGCCATTAGCCTAATGCTCAAACCCCAACCTAGATGACCAGGACACACATTATGGCCAAATTTAGTTAATCAATTACCCTAAAGCGCATGTGTTTAGACCAGGGGTCACCAATCCTGGTCCTGGAGGGCCGGTGTCCCTGCAGGGTTTAGCTCCAACTTGCCTCAACACACCTGCCTGGATGTTTCAAGTATACCAAGTAAGAGCTTGATTAGCTTGTTCAGGTGTGTTTGATTAGGGTTTGAGCAAAAATCTGCAGGACACCGGCCCTCCAGGAACAAGTTTGGTGACCCCTGGTTTAGACTGTGGGGGAAACCCACACCAACACGGGGAGAATATGCAAACTCCACACAGAAATGACAACTGTCCCAGTTTTTATATTTGCTCAAGTAATTAAAATACTTATTGCGAAGTTACTTTTCAGACAAAGTCATTAGAAGAGTAATTTAAATACAATTTAATGATGATTCTAATGACTATTTTAATGATGAAAAATGGCTGAGATACAAAAACACAGTGTTTACTCCTCAGTTACTCTCTCTCTCTGCATCTACTTTAGTGAGGATATGGTTTATTTAACCAAAAGTATCCGCTGTAAACCAACAACCATCCATTAGAGCAGAGTGATGGGAGTTTGAGTTCAGAGGGTCTGACAGAGCTCAGCTATTAAAGAGTAATCAGCGGAAATAAATCTCGCTTCATAGTGATTTTCTAAAATATACAGCAGCAATGTGTCAGTTTAATCTTCTCTTCTTTTTCCCCTAAACAACTTTATCATAAGTCTCCAACTTTGTCACAAAAAAAAAAACAAGCTGTTTATACTCTTAACAGTTAAAGGGATAGTTCACCCAAAAATGGATATTCTGTCGTCATTTACTCGCCCTTCAAATGTTTCAAACCTGTTTGAGGAAGATATTTTGAAGAATGTTGGAAACCTGTAACCATCAACTTCCATAGTATTTGTTTTTCCTACTATAGAAGTCAATGGTTACAGCTTTTCAGCATTCTTAAAATTATCTTCTTTGTGTTCAACAGGAAAAAAGAAACTAGTTTTAGTGAGTAAATAGTGAGTACCTGTTCATATTTAGGTGAACTGCCTGTATTTTTGTCTTTTACTTATATTTTACATTCATTGTTATGAATTTTTCATTTGTACCAGTTTATATTTACCATTTTTTTACCATATTATATTTACCGTGTGACCCGTGGTCTTGTATGATGCATTCATGTGACTCAAATCTGATTCCAGGTCAGTCCACAACTGGATCCTTCGGTGAAGTGGCCGTTCAGGTGGACCTGATCTCACACCCTGGAACTGGAGAGCACAAAGTCAGCGTTAAAGGTAAAACAAAACACACACACACACACACGCTCACATTAACACATATGATTACATGTGCACACACACATGCGCGTGCATACATAGTCACATAGACACACTCAAAGATTAATGTACAAACACACAAACACTCAGACTTGCACAAACATCAACACACATGCTCACATTAACACATATGCTTACGTGTACACACACACACACACACACACACAGACACACTCAAAGACTCACACACACACATATACTCATGCACACACATATTTGCACACTCCCGCACACTCACAGACCCGCACACATCAGCATACACTCTCCCTGTCTCTCCCACACACATGCACACACACTATGACACTTACTCTTGCAAAACACACTCACAAACATCAGCACACACACACTTTTACACGCTCTCTCTTCCACACAAACACTCACTCACATACTTGTACACACACACACACACACACACACACATTTGCACACTCACTCTCGCACACATCCAGACTTCCGCACACTCTCTCCAACATGCATTCACTCTCAATCTTGCACACAGACTCACAAACATCAGCGCGCACACACACTTACACACACTCTCTCTCTCCCACACAAACACTCACTCTCGCACTCACTCGCACACACACATTTGCACACACTTACAGACATCAGCCCTCACTCACACACAGCGTTTGCCTCCTGATTAAGATCCTCCGGGTTGTAAAAGGCTGTGTGAGCGTGTTTCTCTGTGTTCATTGAGGCAGTCAGTGTAATGTGACTGATAAAGCGTTTGGATTGTGCTGCTGTAATTAGCAGAATGAAAGTTTCCTCTGTCTGTAATGACTCTCAGCTGCCGCTTCATCAGGAGCTCAGGATCTGACTCGGCTCTGTGGGACGACTCAACACTGGACCACAGAGACACACACCTGCACAATCAGCCCAAATCATGACCACACACACACTCAATAATGCTGCGGTCACACTAGAGTTTGAGCTTGCGAAATCTTGTCGAAAGGTCCAGCGAAAAGGGCCGGGATTAAACAAGATGAATAAACATTAAAAAAAGCGAGTGATTGGTCCAAGTTTTAAATTTCTGTCCAGAGAGGTCATGTTTTGATCAGCGATTGGTCTCACGCCATCAAGTGATGCGATTTCGCAGGTCTTGATTTCACCAAGCTTAAACCTTTCAACACAGTGAACTGTGAAACTTGACGCACGAATTTGCATTCCCGATCTGCAGAGGTGGGTAGAGTACCCAAAATCTGTACTCAAGTAAGAGTACAAGTACTTGCCGAAGATTTTACTCAAGTAAAAGTAAAAGTAACAATCTTAAAAGTGACTTGAGTAAGAGTAAAAAAGTACCTTATGAAAAAATTACCCAAGTAATTAGTTACTTAGTTACTCATATATATTTATATAGTGACGCGGTGGCGCAGTAGGTAGTGCTGTCGCCTCACAGCAAGAAGGTTGCTGGTTCGAGCCTCGACTGGGTCAGTTGGCGTGTCTGTGAGTGTGTGTGTTTATGTGTGTTTGGATGTTTCCCAGAGATGGATTACGGCTGGAAGGGCATCCGCTGCATAAAAATTTGCTGGATAAGTTGGCGGTTCATTCCGCTGTGGCGACCCCGGATTAATAAAGGGACTAAGCTGACAAGAAAATGAATGAATGAATATATATAATAATATGTTATATATGTTATATATGTTTTATATATATATATATATATATATATATATATATATATAAACATAATTTTATGATTTTATGTTAATAATAACGTTTAAATGTTATATTTTTAATGATTAACAGCCTGACTGAGTAATATTCATTCATTTTCTTTTTTCGGCTTAGTCTCTTGTTAATCCGAGGTCGCCACAGCGGAATGAACCGCCAACTTATCCAGCAAGTTTTTACGTAGAGGATGCCCTTCCAGCCACAACCCATCTCTGGGAAACTGAATGACTAAAATTTACTGGGATAATCTGTTATTCCATTAAACAGCTACTTGGTTATCTCAAAGCAGACCCGTAGCCAGCCTTTTATAAGGGGTCTTTTTCTCAAAATGTTGAACTTTTTGCATTTATTCACCTCATTTACAACGCATGAGATTTAAATACGGTATTTTAGTGACATTTTAAGCACTATTTTAGCTGGATTAGCCTGTTAGCTCATCATTATAATGACACATTTAATGTACCAAAATATTTTCTAAAGATTTAGAATAAAGAAAAATAATTAAATACTTATTTTTACAATACAAATGTATTAGATCATAAATCGTTAGAAAAAATAGGAATCTGTTAAAGTTTTAAATTAAAAACTGTAGCCTATTGTAGCTTTAGCCTACAAACTGGCCAGAACATTCAACTGTCCTCTGTCAGAATTTGGCTATTTAAATAAAACAAATAAAACATAATAATAATAATAATAAAATAGCTTCACAATTTTTTCTAGCCTCTCTTGTAAAAAAGTACATTTGATTTGATTGAAAATTCATGGATAACAAAAATAGTCAAATTAGTTTTTTTTAAATTAATTTTAATATAGCATTTTGCTTGGTCTTAAAGCCTTTTTCAGAGTATTAATTTCACTATTTACAAACAGACAAACTATTTTGCAGACAAAATAAGACAAATGAGCTCATGTATGGGACAAATTCTGGATCTTTGTCATTGAGGGGTGAGTTTTTCCAACCTCCCAAACCCCTCTGGCTATGGGCCTGCATAGTTACCATAAATAAGGTTCAAAATGGGATAATTTTGACACTTACCACCACTTTTTTCATGTTGGAGCTGGAATTTATGTATATGCTGTAATGTCAGTTGATGTACAGCGTGCATCGCATTGTCAGACTATTCTTGTTGACACCTTGGAGTGAAAACAGACTGAACTTGAGGCTGGGTGACCTGGTCCGATAAAATCACTACACAGACAGCATGATCGTCCTTCTCGGAACCGCAAATGGCCATGGCGTGAACGCAATATAACTCGCACGTCACCCTCGTCAGCCATCATTCAACACACAGGCGGGAGACGCATCTCTATAGCAACCTCTCGCGACACAACCTCTCCAATGCGGCGCCTCGCGATATTTGCAAACAAAACATATGGATCTTTTTTATTATCATTTGACAGTAACGGAGGAACGCCGCAAAATGTAGCGAAGTAAGAGTAAAGCTTTTTCTCTAATAATTTACTCGAGTAAGAGTAAAAGTACACATATTTAAATGTACTTAAAAAGTACACGTTACCCAATAATTTTACTCAAGTAAATGTAACGAAGTATTTGTAACTCGTTACTTCCCACCTCTGCCGATCTGATGCATTCGCGTGCGTATGAATGGAAGTCTATGGGGAGAAAAGTCCAGTGTGACCGCAGCTTAACACACAATAGCTAACCATCACATGCATGACAAATAATTCATCAAAATAACCACTAATATAAAAATAAGCACTATTTACAAACAATTCAATGGATCTAAGTACATTATTCTGCTTATACTATGGTTACGACTCCTAAATACACTGTTCAGATGATGTATTTTAGACATTTTTGAGATGTTTTGTCCTCAAACTGCTCCTATGTGTAGCACTAGTTTCTCACACATCTCCTCCAAAGCCTTCTGTTGTGTTTTGATGGGATTTTTGACTGTTGTAGCTGTGAAATAACTCATTCAGCATTGTGATCTAGAACTGTAATGCGCTCTAAACGTGCCGGAACTACTTTATGCATTTATCTGAAAATAACGGCAAGGTAGTCTGTAATGGTGTCTGTACAGCAGGTTTCAGGCAGCCGCTGCGATCAGATATTATAACAAGGTCACTGGTCTGGGGGTGTATTAGTAAACTATACCAAAAAAATGTTTGGGGGGTGGGGGTGTTTCTGGGAGTTTTCTGGGAGACAGAACAAAATGGGAGATGAGTCTGAAATACGGGTTAACCTCCTGGAAAAAAATGGAAGTGTTGGCTGGTGTGCTGAAACCATTCAACGTAGTGATCTAGAACCATAATGCGCTTAAAACCTGCTGGAGCTACTTTAACTGTGCATTTATATGAAAATAACGACACACCTTAGAACAGGGGTGTCCAAACTCGGTCCTGGAGGGCCGGTGTCCTGCATGGTTTAGCTCCAAATTGCTTCAACACATCTGCCTGGACATTTCTAGTATACCTAGTAAGAGCTTGATTAGCTGGTTCAGGTGTTTAATTAAGGTTGGAACTAAAACTTGCTGGACACCGGCCCTCCAGGACCGAGATTACACACCCCTGCCTTAGAATGTCCATCAGCCAATCAGAAGCAGGCATTCAGCAGCCCCTGTAGTATAAGAGATAAAGAACAACCAGTTGCCTGTTGTGAATGAATAGTACGTAGGTTAGTCTATCCTTATTCAGCCAGTTTCGTTTCTGTCAGTTTTGCATTTTGAACGTTTGGCGCCATCTTGTGACTGAATAATGGTTAGTGTATATAAGTGTTGTCACGATACTGGAATTTGCTACTGAAATATTAAAAAGAAATTTCCCGCTAACATTTAAGCGCCGTTGAGCACGTTCTAAAGCAGTGCTTTAACAGAAACATGAAACTCAACAGAAATGACTGCGAACGTCATCAGTTCACTGCTCTTTACCACTGTTTATCAAGTGTTAACTCAGATACAGGGACACTAGAGTGTTTTAATTTCTCGAAGACCAGTTGATTCATCAGTGAATTGTTCCTATGTCAGCTCATAGACAGACCAGTTGATCTTCGCAGCTTTAAAACACTCCAGTGTCCCTGTATCTGTGTTTGCACTTACTGAAGTGCGGTGAACTGATGACCTTCACGGCCAATCACAGTCATTTCTGTTGAGCCTGTGAACACAATGGCAAATCAGCGATGTTTAGGAACATGCTCAACAGCGCTCAAAAGTGAGCGGGAAATAGACGCCTAGTGTTGTCAGTATCGTGACAACACTAGTGTATGCTCCATCAGCTGTTTTCATTTCTGTCAGCTTCACATTTAATTGATAAACTATTACTGCTCATAACAATGTTTTGTGTCTATTTTTATGTTAATAAAATGGAAATTATGTAAGAATATGCAAATGTTTTAATAAATTATGTACAGTACAATTATATTTCTAATATTTACTCTCTTTTAGTTTAGTTAGAGACCTGCTGGAGCTTTTTTTTACCAAACAAGTGGTTCTTATTAGAATTTTCATAGTATTTTGTGTGTGTGCGCGTGTGTGTGTGCGTGTGTGTGTGTGTTCAGTGTTTGAGCTCCTACACTCAAAATCATTCCACATAAATCCAATGATTTTCTTGCAAAATTCTGCACAAAAACAAAAAAAACACATGTTCTGTCTGGTCCTACTCATAACTCTTTCTGCATGATCTGATTGTGTTGATTAATCTGTAAGCGGATGAGTTCATGTCTGCTAACTCTTCCTCTTATAGTTGTGGGTGTAAATAACATCAACTGGCAGACCAACGCCATGTTTCGGCCCTTCGTGGAGATCAACGCCATCGGTCCACATCTGGCAGACAAGAAACGCAAGTTTAGCACCAAAACCAAGAATAACAACTGGTCTCCGAAATACAACGAAACATTCCAGTAGTGAGTATTGTTTGTTTTCATGTTTCTGAAAGTTTATTCGTATTTTTAGGGATGTAATAATTTATTTAACTCACGTTTTTGAGTCACGATTTCGATTTCATTATTCAATTTTCTCATGACTTTTTTACGAAAAAGGTTTGAGGACAGTAAATGAAAAGATTTCTTTTAAAAATATATATTTTATTTTATTTTTTTAATAATTGCTGCACATTTCTTTGAGAAACTGAAATATGACAGTGCATAACAAAAAGCCCAGTGTAATATTTCATTTAAATTAATAAACTAAAATAAAAAAAAGTAAAATAAGACTACACCATTTACACCATTTAGACTACACCTACTATATTTTTAAATATTATTTGTTATTAATCACATTAAAAACAAATGTTTGTATTTGCATAATATATATGTGTGTGTATTTTGTATATTTATTATGTAGATATAATGCATATATATATATATATATATATATATATATATATATATATATATATATATATATATATATATTTGATAAAACCTTTATTTATCTTTAGATATAAAATACACATGCATATAATAAAAATTATTTATACATTTAAATATCTATGTAAATATATCAGTTTTTTATAGTTCCATTTTTTATGCATGTGTGTATATGTAATGCACAAATATGCATTAAAACGACACTATACACACTTACATTAGGCAAGTTTACTTTATTTATGTGGCACATTTCATACACAGTGGCAATTCAAAGTGCTTTACACACTCTGTCACTTGGGTGGTACCTTTTTAATAGGTACACATTTGTACTTACAGGGTCTATATTGGTACCTCAAAAGTATATATTAGTACCTACAAATTTGAAGAGGAACACTTTTATACTTTATAGGTACTAATACGCACCTTCGAGGTATTAAAATGGACCTTTTCGTTACAAATTTGTACCTTTTGAAAAGGTACCACCCCAGTGGTTTATTTCTTAGAGTGCATAAACAGGAGTAAAAGAGACATGTATAAGAACACAAAAACAAATAATATAAAAAAAAAACAGATTAAAATGTGTTAAAACAGGTTATAAAAGAATGAAAAAGAAAAGAAAGACATAATAGTGCAATATATGACGTAGCACAGTGCTCATTCAGTAAAGACACAGCTAAACAGATGCGTTTTCAGTCTTGATTTTAATGTGCCTAATGTTGGAGCGAGGGGCATAATAGCTTGTATATAAAAACAAGCTTGTATTTTGAATGCGATTAGTTTTTGGATATTTTAATGAAAATAAATAATACATATTGTGCCTTTAATCCTTAACAAGGGTGTTTTTATCAAGTAAAAATATAGTAGAAATTGGGAAGTAGTATTGTAACTCAAAATAACATGTTGTCTATTTGAATATATACCAACATTTTATTAATTCCAGCAATTAAAAGCAGAATTTTTAACATCATATTTTTCAGGGTCATATGATCCTTCAGAAATCCCTCTAATATGGTGATCCACTGCTCAATAATAATTTCTAAATATTTATCAATCTTACAAACAATTGTGGCTCAGTGGTTAGCACTGTCGCCTCATGACAAGAAGGTCGCTTGTTCGAGTCCCGGCTGGGCCAGTTGGCATTTCTGTATTTGCATGTTCTCCCTGTGTTGGCGTGGGTTTCCTCCAGGTGCTCCAGTTTCCCCCACAGTCCAAACACATGCGCTACAGGTGAACTGAATAACTACATTTTCTGTAGTGTATGAGTGTGCATGTGAGAGTGTATGGGTGTTTCCCAATACTGGGTTGTGGCTGGAAGGGCATCCGATGTGTAAAACATATGCTGAATAAATTGGCAGTACATTCCGCTGTGGCAACCCCTGGTGAGTAATGTTAATATTAAATATGCGACTGTCTTGCTATGAGGCGACAGTGCTAACCACTGAGCCTCATGTTAATGTCATTCATTCCTTTTCTTTTCGGCTTAGTCCCTTTATTAATCTGGCCAACTTATCCAGCATATTTCATCTCATCTCATTCATACTCATACACTACGGACAATTTAGCCTACCCAATTCACCTGTACCACATGTCTTTGGACTGTGGGAGAAACCGGAGCACCCGGAGGAAACCCACGTGAATGCGGGGAGAACATGCAAACTCCACATAGAAACACCAACTGACCCAACCGAGGCTTGAACCAGCGACCTTCTTGCTGTGAGGCGAGGTTCATGAGTAAATGATGGCGTTTCTGTGTGGAGTTTGCATGTTCTCCCCGTGTTGGCGTGGGTTTCCTCCGGGTGCCCCGGTTTCCCCCACAGTCCGAACACAAGCACTATAGATGAATTGGATTTACTAAATTGGCTGTAGTGTATGAGTGTGTGTGAATGGATGAATATGGGTGTTTCTCAGTACTGGGTTACACCTGGAAAGGTATCCGCTGCAAAAACATATGCTGGAATAGTTGGCGGTTCATTCCGCTGTGGTGAAAGAGCCGCAAGAAAATGAATGTATGAATGAAAACTATTGTGCAGCTTCCTATTCGGTTGTGTTTGATTCTGAAGTTCAACAGAACATTCATTTGAAGTACCTTATTTTGCAACATAATAAATGTCAATTTAGTGTGTCCCTGCTAAATATTAAACATTATAACGGTGGTTTATATCAGAGAACTTTTTGATAACATGACTAAAATGATTGATAAGAACTGAATGTGAATCTCACAGCACTTATATTACTGAAAATGACATCCCAGCGACTAGTAAGCTGATATAGAGTCATTGTTTGATACGTGACCACTATTACTCCCTCCATAATTGCACATTTCACCAAACCATTTTCTCCTAAATTAAAAAGTTTCACAGAAAGAAATAAAACGATAAATTTCCAATACATAGAGCTGAATACCACCTTATTCTATCTTCCAACCATTCTCAAATCGAACCCTATTGCTTGTGATATAAATGATTCACGTCTGACTGTAAATACAGCATTAGACATCAGCAGTCGTCCTGTTTTTTTCAGCGCTGACGCTGAAGGATGGTATTTAAGCTGCTTAAACGCACTTGAATAACAGCAGAGAAAGCAGCCATCCGACTGGAGATTTACTTCTGACAGCCTCATTTGAAGCCCTTGTTGAGGAAAAGATAATTAAGAAAGGCTTTCTAGAAATAAAGACCTGCATGTTTCAATGGAGTTCCGAGCCGACGAGTAATGTATGATTGAAGCTCGGCGCAAACTCAATGACACACTGAATTAACCTCTCTTTTAGAGCGCACGTAAAATAGCATGAACTCAAAAACCACCTTTGGATATTAAGGGCCTTTTAGCTTAATGGAGTCTCAAGCCGGTTTTGTGTGGAATCATAAAGAGCTCCTGCGTGCTGCTTTTCAGTGAGTCTGAGAGATGTAAATATTGTGTTGATAAAACAGGCTTGTGCATTCATGCATTGGACTAATATTTGTGTGTTTGTTTATGCTGGTTGATGTGACCGTCGTCTAAGATTTTATGAAAACCTACAGTGGTTGAAGTTTTCTTAGGGCCTACTCACACTATGCCATCCGTACCGTGCCCAGGCCCGTTTCCCGGATCGTTTGAGAAGTGTGAGTGCGCTGAATCGGGCTAAAGCACGGTTCACTTGGTCGGCCATGGCCCGGTTGGAAGAGGTGTGCCTGAGCGCGGATCACTTGGGCTTTGGCGCGGTACGCTTGTGTGTGAGTGCAAAACGCGCCAAAGCCCGAAACTGAAAGTGAGACGTGACTTTTAAGGGGCTGTTTCATATGGATTTATTAATCATTCTTACTGTTCAGTGATCGCAAACTGCCATCGTTTATTGAAGACGCAAACTCCTCACTGCACGACAGCTGCGCGCCTTCAGCAGACCTCCTCATTCCAGCAGCACGAGAGCTTTATGATTGTTTATGAGCGCCAAAAGTGGCGGATCTGTCCGGTGAAATATCTGACTGCGTGTCGCCGCATCCCTAAGGACTGTTTGGCGAAATATTTGACTGCATGTCACTGCAAAACAAACGACTGAAACGATATAACTAGAGAAATCTCCACTGTGCTACTGGGTGAGAGCGTATGGCAAGCCGTTTTAGCATTTAAACCTTGTTCTGACTATCCATAAATATATTTAGAGATATCTCTAATTATATTTTGACTAGTCATAATTATAATTCGACTAGTCAGATTGGAAATATCTGCAAATATATTATGACTGACCAGTCATATTCCTCCATTGACTTCCATTGAAAAATATTTGCAGATATCTCTAAATAAGTTTTGACTAGTCACAATTGTAATTAGAGATATCTCCAAATGAATTTTGACTAGTCAAAAATCCAATTCAAGATATCTACAACTGTAATTCGACTATTAGTAAATTAATTAGAGATATCTTCAAATATATTTGTAAATATCTCTAAATATGACAAATTAAAGATATCTCCAAATGCAGTTTCTTCGCTGGTGTTTTGCTTTTCCTGAACACTTCCGGGATGTACAAGTGGCTCAAACTCGCTCATTTTGAGGCAGGAACCGGCGGACGTGCAACAACTTTAACTATGAGGTAAACACAAAACAAAACTTTCCATCCGGAGCTCCTTCACGGGACTCCACACTTGTAAGCAATCCCTCGCGCCATTCGCGCGGTTCTCGGTCCTGCCCAGACTCGTCAGCGCTACCAAGCCGACCAATCACAGGGCTTACGCTACGCGTCGTTGCGACGTGTAGTTACATTTTTTGAGAGGTGCACGTCAGTGACGGCCATGGCGAAGGGCTATGTGTCAGCGCTGTAGCATACGCCGGCGTTTGACGCAGAAGTATAAATCAGCCTTTAGAGAGTTTATGTCATAAAATGGGGGATTTTTAGCTCCATCTTCAATGAAATACGGTGTTTTATTGAGAATGTTTACTGATAGCATTGTGACTAGTGATGAGAATCAGCACCTCCAAGTCCAAGGCCATGGTGCTCCACTGGAAAAAGGTGGTTTGCCATCTCCAGGTTGAAGGAAAGTCCTCACCCCAGGTGGAGGAGTACAAGTATCTCTGGGATTTGTTCACGAGGGAAGGAAGGATGAACGTGATTGACAGGCAGACTGGTGCAGTGGCAGCAGTAATGCGCTTGATGTACCGGTCTGTTGTGGTGAAGAAGGAGCTGACCCGAAAGGCAAAGCTTTTGATTTACCAGTCAATCAACGTTCCTACCCTCACCTATGATCATGAGCTTTGGGTCATGACCGACAGGTCAAGATCTCGGATACAAGCAGCCGAAATGAGTTTCCTTCGAAGGGTGGCAGGGCGCACTCTTGTGGATAGGGTGAGGAGCTCTGACACTCGGGAGGAGCTTGGAGTAGAGCTGCTGCTCCTCCACATCGAGAGAAGTCAGCTGAGGTGGCTCGGGCATCTGTTTCGGCGAGACACTGCTTGCTGCAAAGCTGCTTAGGCTCCAATGAGGGGGAGCTTGAGCTCCAACTCCTCCTCCTATAAGCTGTTTTAATGCGTACACCCAACTCACCCCTAACCCCAACCCTAGAAGTGTAAAAGAAGTGCAAGGAAGGAGGAGCTGGAGCTCAATCCCCACCTTGCTGGAGCTCAGCTCTGCAGTGAGCACCTCTTGGTTTCGGTTGCCTCCTGGAAGCCTACCTAGGGAGGTGTTCCAGGCATGTCCCACCTGTAGGAGGCCCTGAGGAAGACCCAGGACACGCTGGAGGGACTATGTCTCTCAGCTGACCTGGGAACGCCTCGGGATCCCCCTAGAGGAGCTGGAGGATGTGTCTGAGGAGAGGGAAGTCTGGGGTTCTCTCCTAAGACTGCTTGCTCCGCGACCCGACCCCGAAAAAGTGGCATAAAATGAATGAATGAAAGAAATGTGACTAGTAAATGCTATTTAAAAACTGCACACAATACCTTCATCACATTTATTTAACATAAAACAATATAGTAGTCCCTAAAAACTGTGTTTTTTCAACTAATTTTAAATAGGTAGTTCGAACGAGTAGCAAACATTTTTGTCTGAGTGACACTGTAGCCTCACAGCAAGAAGGTTGCTGGCTCAAGTCCCGGCTTGGCCAGTTCACCCCGTGTTGGTGTGGGTTTCCTCCAGGTGCTCCCCCACAGTCGAAACACATGCACTACTGGTGAATTGGTTAAGCTAAATTGGCCATAGTGGGCACAAGGTGGCGCAGTGGGTAGCACATTCACCTCACAGCAAAAAAGTCGCTGGTTCGAGCCTCAGCTGGGTCAGTTGGCATTACTGTGCAAGTTTGCATGTTCTCCCCATGTTTGCGTGGGTTTCCTCCGGGTGCTCCGGTTTCCCCCACAAGTCCAAAGACATGTGGTACAGGTGAATTGGGTAAGCTTAAATTGGCCGTAGTGTATGTGTGTGTGTGTGTGTGGATGTTTCCCAGTGATGGGTTGCAGCTGAAAGGCCATCCGCTGCATAAAACATGTGCTAGATAAGTTCGGGGTTTGACCCCAGATTAATAAAAGGACTAAACTGAAAAGGAAATGAATGAATGAAATTGGCCATAGAGTATGAGTGTGTGCGTGAATGAGTGTGTATGGGTGTTTCCCAGAACTGGATTGTTGCTGGAAGGGTAAAACATGCATAAAACATATACATAAAGTTGGCAGTTAATTCCACTGTGGCAACCCCTAATAAATAAGGGTAAAAGGCAAATGAATGTTGAATTAGATGTCTCTATAGAAGTATTTTTTCCAACAAGTAAAAGTTTTGTAAAAAAAAAATCTATTTTCCAACAAGTAAAAGTTTTGTAAAAAAAAATAAATATATATATTTTTTAAATTTCAGTTAATCAGTTTAAATAATAATAATATTTTCATAACAAAATAATAATACTAGCCCCGTTTATTTTATTTATTTATTTTTTGCCACAGAACAAACTCCTGTTGTCAGCACTTAGTATCTTCGTACGAATACTAGTTTTATTTTCAAAATAACTAGTAAAATGTTATGTACTGTCATTGTGGGAAGGACAAAATAAAATACGATATTAGAAATTAGTTTAATTATGTGTTGGAAAAAAAAACTTCTCTCCATTACACATCACTTGCGAAATGAAAAAATAATTCAAATAGGGAATCGTTTTGTCTCCAACTGTACATGCAACATCATTTGTGTTTATAAACAGCTTAATCCCAGAATGTTTGTTTAACCCTTGTGTGCATTTTTAATATTGGATATTTATGGGTAATTTTGAGTCTTAATTTGGTCACAACTTTTTCTGTGTTACAGCACATGCAATGATTTTTTGGTGTAAAATCTTATTTTGACACATATTTTGGGAAAATGCTTTGAAAGAAAAAACTTAACAATACACTCAAATTGACTACCCTTTAGTTATGTTGGTGGTTGTTTTTGCCCTATTGACCATTTACAATTACATTTTTACAATGACATTGAAAGTCATGACAGCATATAATCATGCATTCTTGCTGGTTTTCCCTGTTGGGAAGAGTTACAACTTGTAATGCTTACTGTTGATCATCAATTGCACTGTAAAAAAGCTTATTTTCTGGCTTTTATATGGAGTTACTTGGAGTATAGTGTGTGCGTGCGTTGTGTAAGTCAGAGGGAGAGTGTAAGAGAGACCTTTGCACACCTTGACATATCTGAGAAAATCAAAATAAGCCCCTCAGCTATCAGAACACAGTAAACACAGCGAGTGTATTCATGCACACACACTATAATCTGCTGTTTTACTCTATAGTACTCCATATAAAAGCTAGATTTTTTTTTGCACAGGCCTATCTAAAGGGTTAATGCTGCCAACTGATGATCAACAGTAAAAATGACAAATTGTACCTCTTCCCAACATGGAAAACCACAACCAATCAAGAGTGCATGATGGTGTCATGGCGTTGCAATCAAAAAATGTCATTATGATGGAAGTCAATAGGGCAAAAACAGCCACCAACCTAACCAAAGTGTTAATAGTTAATCACTAAGGCCAGTTTGATGTGGCTTGTTATTAATGATGTTGTGGTGATTTCTCCATCCAGTGTGCTGAGTAATGAGCACGGCCCCGAGGCCTACGAGCTCCACATCTCCGTGAAGGACTACTGCTTCGCCCGAGAGGACCGAATCATCGGCATGACAGTCCTGCAGCTCCGAGAACTGGCCGAAAAGGGCAGTCTGGGCGCCTGCTATCCGCTCATCAGGAGCATCAGCATGGACGAGACCGGCCTGACCATCATGAGAATACTCTCGCAAAGGACCAACGACGAAGTGGCCAAAGAGTTCGTACGTCTCAAAACAGACACGCGGTCGGCCGAGGAAGTGTCGTAAAGAAGAGGAAACGCGGAGGAAAAAAATAAGCGGAGGGTGCAAGACGGTTGTGTTTGTTTTTGTGCATGTGTGTAAAACATCTGTCGGAATGTTCATTTTAAAAATACAAGTACGTACAAAAAAAAGTGTTTACCTACCGTATGCTCTCTATCAAATATTATATTCTACAGAGTTATGTTCAAGAGACGTTGAATACAGTTACTTTTTTTTTTTTTTTGTATGACGATTAGTCTTTTTGAACAGATATATTGTATTTGTTCAGATAAAGTGCCAAACCTGATGAGTCGAAAATTAAAAAAAAGATTAAAAAAACAAAAAACACACAATAGATTAAACACAAGCGCGTATGAGTTATTGGTGAAGTTGGTATCTTTCTAAATTTGCTCGATTCTTTTGTCCGGTGTATATCATCCTCTCTTCGAGTGTGTAGCGGGTTTTGTTTGTCTTTTCATTCTCCCACTCTCAGCCGGGCTCCTTGGTGTCGAAATGTCATCAAAAAAACGTTATAATACACGTCAAAGAATGAAAATCGATTAGTTGTCAATTGATTAGATGTCAAACATCAAGCTGACGTCAAAAATCGATTAAAGGACAATCCTGTAATCAATTTTTGACGTTTTTTTGAAACCAATATTAGATGTCAATTTGATGTCGTTTTGACATCAAGTTAGTTCACATGCATTGTAGGTAGGGCTGGGCGATATGGCAAAAATGCAATCTCAATAATTATTTTCCAAATTGAACGATAAGGATATATATTTGCATATAAGTTGTTAATGCTTCAAGATTTAAAAGAAAATCTCAACAGTAGCTATGTTTCTATCCACCTATTTTATGCGCATTAAAAAAACAGTTGAAAGAAACGCTATGATGCGCATAAATTTTGAAAATGCGCATAAAAAAAACTTATGCGCCTAACTGGGTAGGATAAACTTTTTATTCGATAAGAAAAGATGCGCATAAACTGCGATGGAAACACTTTTACCGCACAAACTCCAGCATGCGCATTAAAAAGGTCATGTGATTTTGTTAAAAGATATCATGTGATGCTTAAAATGTGTGTGAATGGACAAAACGTCAGGCTGAGCACATTATAAAACATCTGAAATGTTGTTTTGGTCATTATAAAACGCCTTACCGTTTCAGTATTAGTGTTATTATATTATTAATGACGTCCAGAATCAAGAGCGCCTGTGCTCCGCGTCTGACACCTTCAAACGCCACTGCGCGCTCACTGCTTGTCAGGATTACCTTCTGAGGCGCATTCGTTTAGAAAAGATTGAAGCAGCTTCTCCTACTGTGGTAAATGCAGTTTTTACTGTTGATATTTGGCACCAGTTAATCAGGAAGTGACGATTTTGTTCGCTTTGACTCGTTGGATGGAAACGCTGCTTCATTCACACAACATTTATCCGATAATCCAGTTTTGCGCATAAAGTTTATTCGCATTTTTGGATGGAAACATAGCTAATGACTGAAGCCACAAAAATTATAGGATCCATTAAATGGCATAACCAGGAGTGGATTTAGGGCGTACTCACACTATGTACAGTTGTCTTGAACCGGGCCAAAGAACGCTTGTCCCCTCTCTCGTCTCCCCCGACGACCCGCACTTACATGGGCATGTTTACATCGTCGATGATGCGCTGTTCAGTAAGCACTTTTGCTTAGCACAGTGGAGATTCCTTTAGTTATATCGCTGTAGTCGTTTGATATGCAGTGCTGCAGTCAGATATTTTGCCGAACAGATCAGCCACTTTTGACGCCCATAAACAATCATGAAGTCCTTGTGCTGCAGGAATTAGGAGGTTTGAAGGCTCAGCTGTGGTGCAGTGAGGGGTTTGCGTCTTTAATAAACTACGGCAGTTTGCGTTCATTAAACAGTGAAAATGATTAATAAATCCATATCAAACAGTCCCTGAAAAGTCACGTCTCGCTATCAGTTTCGGACTCGGGCACGTTTTGCACTCACACATAAGCGTACTGCGCCAAAGCCCAAGTGAACCGCGCCTGAGCCCAATTCAGCGCAATTACACTTCCCAAATGATCCAGGAAACCGACCTTGGCACGGTTTGGATAGCATAGTATAAGTACATCCTTTTCTTCTTTTATGTAATATTTATTTATATTGCTGTTTTCTTATATCACTCAATCTTCTTTTCAACATTTCAAATTAATGCAATCTGTACATTTTAAATTAGTTTTCCTAAATGAATTTACAACAAAACTATATATATATATATATATATATATATATATATATATATATATATATATATATATATATATATATATATATATATATATATATGCTGGACTGCTCCATAATGGATATTTTATTTTGGAATATTATTATTATTACATAACATTATAATAATAATTTTATATTTAATTCTATATTATATACTATTTAATTACAATAAAATTGTATTGGTTTAACTCTTACCATACAAAATATGGTAGAAAACGATGTACAATATAGTTTATAGGTATAATTTATATATTTATATATTGATATTTATTTTTGGGATTTCCTGAGGCCCTATGCAGCCGCTATTCTCACTTATTAGTAAATCCGCCCCTGGGTATGACATATTTTGGTCCGATAAATTTTCAGTGGCTGAAAATAGGATACATCTCTAATATTAACACTCTTTTAGATTCTCATTGTAGCACATTTCTGCGGTCTGATTGGCTCTTATATGAATATAGAATAAAAAAGTCCAGAGCTTTTATCTCAATTGGATGCAATATTGTTTGTTGGCCCAGCCCTAATTGTATGGATACAAAATCCAGTGTAAATTTGGAATTGAAGCTTTCAGATGAATGAACTTTCCTTTCATTTCAAAACTTTTTGTATTGCTATTTTGGTGGTCAATGTGTTGACGTCAAGACTTTGACATCAAACCGATATGCATTATTGACCTGTTTTTGATGTGGTTTTGACATCAAGGTGCCCGCTGGGCTGTTTGTTAATTTGCGTTATTTATTTTCCTCACACACAGCACTGGTGGTGCATGTCTTGTTTTCTTGGTGATGTCTCTCCCGTGCGTTCGCAGTGACTGTGGGCATCGACTCGGACCCTCTCCCCTCCAACGTTTTGTATTTTGAGCCGACTTTAAAAAGAGACCATTTTTTTAAATGGCGATGACTGCTACGAATCTCTTCATAAGTGTTTGTAATTTTATAGTCGTTGACAACAATGAAAAACCACCTTGATGCTGGTCCGGGTGGGACGTTTTGTTTTCCGTTTGTTTCGTACGTTTAGTTTATTTAAGTTTCCTTTTTTATGTTTTAAACCATAGGCTTTCGGCCTTTCTGAATTATCACTGTGAACATGGGCTCTGAAAGGCAAGCTTACATCACATTAGTTGACGGTTTGATATCATCTTTTTATTTTATTTTTTACTTTGATTCTAAAAAAAGGAGTGAGAAAAACTGCCAAAGTTATATGAAAATGTTCATACAAAAGCAATCCGCAATGTGTACGGAAATCAGTATATACTATGTACACGTGCTACAGACGGTACGTTCTGTTTTTAGTATTGCTGAATCATATGATTGTCGATGGGCCGGTTCAGAGTTTATTTGGGGATGATTTCTGTGAAGTTGTATTATCTGGTATGAACGTGGTAAATGTTGCTTCACAGAAGAGTCATATCGATCGCCGTCATCTCGTTTATTTTTGTTTACAGAGAAAAAAGTTTAACATTTGGTATTTATGCAACATTCCTATGTATTGCACTGATGGCAAATTGTATGTCATGTAAATATATTTAGTGAGAAATTGTAACGAAGGTCTCCTTGTTTTGCATTTCGGTTTATCATTGAACATTCAGGGTTAAATGAGTTTCACAAATACATGTCCAAGTGACTGTAATTTAACATTAGGAACTGTATTATATTATTTTAGTGATGTAATTGATGTACACTAGGGCTGCACGATGTATCGTTTCTGCATCTATATCGCAATGCACCCATTAGCAATAGTCACGTCGCGAGTTATGCAATTTTGAGTCTGAATTATAGTTGACCATAAGCTATAAAGTTGTATTTAATTATTGTATTTATACAGAGTTTAGACGATTTTTATTAGAATGTTTGTCTTGTTTCTTGCCCAAATATCTATTTATCAAAGCAAAAACAAGACTATTTTACTTGCCCCACTGACAGATAGTTTTTCTTGAACTTGAAAACAAAAAAAATTAATAATATCTAATAATATCTATATTCGGTATCTAATATCTAATAATATAATAATTTAGATATTTGGACTAGAAACAAGACAAAGCAAAGTAAAAAATTTCTTTTTTTCATTGGGATTATTCAATTTCTGTTCCTGAATACTGTTACAACTCCCCAGAAAACCTGCTATTTAAACTATTTTATGAAAATATCCAGCCTGATCTCTCGGGGAAACATAAGTATTTTGTCAGTTTAGTGGCTAATTCGTACAAATTTGTACGAGTTCAGTCGTACAAAAATGTACGATTTTAAAAAGGAGGTGTGGCACCCAACCCCACCCCTAACCTCATCCATCATTGGATGATGAGCAAATCGTACTAAATTGTACGAACTAGATTATACAAATTCATACGAATTAGCCACTAAATCAAAAAGTTACGAATTGCTGTGAGATGGCATTGAAATATCTCATAACACAATATTCATCGCAGAAAAATAAAGTGTCGCAATATCAGATTTTTCCAATATAGTGCAGCTCTACTATACATCTTCCAACCAAAATCATAGTATTTATTTTAACCTACATGTTGCATAAATTGTTTTATTATGCTTATTAAAATTCTATTTTATAACAAACAAAATTAGAATATCACAATATCACTTTGAAAAGTTTTCAAAGAGAAACATTTAATTTTACTTTCACATGTTTTAATGTTGCATCATTAAGATCAAAATATTAAAGTAAATGGCTAAATATGTTATAGTAAATATTAGGGTTGTGCGATTAATCGAAATCAAATCAAAATGTTGCGATTAACTAATCGCATGAGGCTGCGATATGAAATACATACAGTTGAAGTCAGAATTATTTGCCCCCCTTTGATTTTTTTTTTTTTCTTTTTTTAAATATTTCCGAAATTATGCTTAACAGAGCAAGGAAATTTTCACAGGATGTCTGATAATATTTTTTCTTCTGGAGAAAGTCTTATTTGTTTTATTTCAGCTAGAATAAAAGCAGTTTTTAATGTTTTAAACACCATTTTAAGGTCAAATTTATTAGCCCTTTTAAGCTAAATTTGTTTTCGATAGTCAACAGAACAAACCATCGTTATACAAAAACTTGCCTAATTACACTAACCTGCCTAGTTACCCTAATTAATCTAGTTAAGCCTTTAAATGTCCCTTTAAGCTGTATAGTAGTGTCTTGAAAAATATCTAGTCAAATATTATTTACTGTCATCATGGCAAAGATAAAATAAATCAGTTATTAGAAATGAGTTATTGAAACTATTATGATTAGAAATGTGTTTAAAAAAAATCTTCTCTCCGTTAAACAGAAATTAG